TAGTTCACAGAATTTGGATTTTTCAGAACTCTTGTCTTTACTCTCTCAAGGGAATGCTCTAATGTTTTACTCTTTAAGAGCAAGGATGATGAAGTAAAAAGACTTAGATTTTAATTCAGACATAATTAGTTAGTGAATGTGTAACTCTGGGAAAATTATTTTATTATTCTGAACTCACCTTCATTATGTGTGGGGAAAAGCCCCCCCCACACCTGGATTTGGCAGTGTGTTGTGAGAGTATAGTAGGAGAAACTAAATTGGGATTTTTCTACATCATCAGACCAGATATATAGTATTATGCCATATACCAAAAAAATGGGTATAGTTTCCTTTTTTTTGCACCAAACTACATTTTAAATCTATCCTCAAACCATAGGGGCATGTTTTGGGAATTCCCGGTGAGGAAAAGAGGTTTTAAAATCCTGAAGAAGATTGGCATTGAGGAATTCACAAGCAACAACCATAGTGAATTAATACTCAGCTGCTGTTTTTTATGATGCTAGTGACAGCCTTGTAGCCAAGGGAGGCAGGGACCCTTGAGCCCTCTTGTAGCTCCCAGGGCCCATTAGTCAGCCAGTGGCTCTAGGAGAGCATGACAGTTTATCAGCTTAAGCAGCTTCGGTCATAATGTTCACAAGAGGTTGGTCACTGGGTTTAAAGGCTAAAGAAAAACTATATGAGAGAGGGTAAAAATGTAAAAATAAAATGCTTTCTACCAAGATGCAGACAGATTGACTAATATCCTTTCACCTCCTATTGTCTTAGGACAGTTATTATCAACAGCGCCTGATGTATCTCAATATAACCATGCCTATTTGTTGGTAACTGTGAGGGAGACCATTATTTTTGGTGAGCCTGGGAAGGATAACAGGAAAGAGAGCTGACATTGAAATTTTTTTTTATGTTTTTGCCATAATTATCTTGAATATTCCTCATTTTGCATGAAGACAGTTTAATGACCTTTTGACATAGAGATAATTGTGTATTTTCAGTGCGTATATTTCAGATTAAAAGCAGAGGGTAGCTTTCCAGAAAGTGAAGAATCACTGGGCCAGGAAAGTGAGCCAAATGTTTGCTGCCTTTTTCCCTGGGAGCATTTGCTGATTGTAGAAGAGGGGGTGAGAGCCTAGGAGATTAACTGGCATTTTTGACAGCCTTGCAGAGCTATGAGCAGGAATTATTATTGGGGGCCTATCAAGCTGGGGTCTTGATAATTCCCCTATTCACTTTGGGTTGGGATTCTGAAGGGTTGCATCCTGGGAGAATAGTCAGCCTGAAATAGATAGGTCCTCAAAGGGACTTCAGTTCTGATTTGAGTATCACAATTTATGAAGTCAGAATGAGGTGATGCTGAATGGTTTGTGGCTGGTGAAGCAAATGGAAATAATTTTTGGAAATGATGACATTATAACATTATCCTAGGATTAAAGTTATTTTTTATAAAAATTTTACAAATATAATATCTGAAACCTAATAAAAATAGTCAGATATTACAAGACAGCATGAAAACAAACAAGAGAAAACAAAAACAGAACAGGTACATAGGGGCTTCAAATAGTGATGATATCAAAATAGATTTTATAACAACTATAATTTTACTTTTTATGTTGAAGGATTTAAAAGACTATAATTAAAATATTGCAGAGAACTGGACATGATAAAACAAGACTCAGCTGGATATTCTAGAATTTAAAATACCGTAAGAGAAATTAAGTACTCAATGGATGGGTTTAACAGTTGATTTGCAGAGTAAAGAATTGCTGAATTAGAAGATAGGATGTATCCAGAAAGAAGCAAAAAATCCTTTCCACTGTTGATGGGCATTTATTTAGGTTGATTCCACATCTTTGCTATTGTGAGAAGTGCTGCCATAAACATATATGTACATGTGTCTTTGTGGCAGAATAATTTGTATTCTTCTGGGTATATACCCAATACTGGGATTGCTGGGACGAATGGTAGCTCTGCTTTGTGTTCTCTGAGCAATCACCAAACTACTTTCCACAATGGCTGAACCAGTTTATGTTCCCACCAGCAGTGGATAGGCATTCCCTTTTCTTTGCAACCTCGCCAGCATCTGTTATTTTTTGACTTTAAAAAGAATAGTAACAGAATAGATAACTTCTGATAAAATGGAGGAAGAAATGAGATTATAAAAATAATTCAGTGAGGAAAAGTGTGGCCTCTTCAAAAATGGACTGGAGCACATCGGTGTCCATATGAAAAAACAAACAAACAAAAAAGAAAGTTGATCCCTACGTAAAAATTAATTCCAGTCAGATTTTACTGTATACATGAAAGGGAAAACAATAATATACTTAGAATGTCATTTAGGAGAATGACTTTATGATATTAGGGTGGGTATAAGACTTAAACAGAACAGCAAAAGCACTGAACAGAAAGAAAAAGATTGACAAAATTTGGCTGCACTGAAATTAGAAGTTTCTTTCATTGAAAGACATTCAGAGAGTGAAAAGGCCACATAATGGGAGAATATATTTGCAACACGTATAACCAACAGAGGTTCATGTTTAAATGATTCCTGTATTGAACGTAAAGAAGAAACAATTCCATAAAAAAATGGGCAAGCAACTTGCATGGACATTGCACAAAAAGGATATCCAAATGGCCAGTGAATAAATGAAAAGGCACTTGATAACATTAGCTATTAGAATCATGAGGAAATATACATTAGCTAAATCAAAATTACAGATGTTACCAAGTGTTGGTAAAGATTTGGAGCAGTAAGAACTCTCATACCCACAGGGTTGGTGAGAATGTATATTGGCATATACATTTTGGAAAACTACTTGGCATTATCTACTTAATTTTAAGATATGTATACTCTATGATTTAAATATTCCATTCTCAGGTTTATAACTGATGGAAGTGTGTGTGCTTGTGCACCAGAGACATATATGAGAATATTCATGGTAGAATTACTTGTAATAGTCCCAAACTGTAGACAACTCAAAATGTCCATCAGCAGTAGAATGAATAAACAGACATATTCATACAATGGAATATGATACAGTAATGAAAATGAATGAACTGTAACCAAATAGAATAAATCTAACAAACATAATGCCATGTGAAGAAAAACAGACAGAAAGGAAAGTATTCTATGTGATTCCATTTATATAATGTTTAAAAATGAGGCAAAACTATTAATAAAATATTTAGTGTTTAAGGATATATCCTTAGGTGATAAAAGTACAAAGAAAAGTAAGAAAGTAATTGCCATAAACAGTCAGGATAGTTGTTGTCGTTGGTGGACACAGAGCCTGTAGTTATTGAGAGGGGGCATGTAGGGTGTTCTTGGGGTACAGAAAATGTTGTATTTCTTGAACCTTAAGGTGGTTACATGGTGGTCATGAATCTGTTTGTAATACTTGAGCTGTACTTTTTCATTTCATGCACAGTTCTCTATGTTATAATTTACTTGAAAAAACAAGATAGTGGGACCAATAAACCAAATGATGACCTAGTGTTATGCTGAGAGCAAGTAAGATACCAATCCTGAATACATAACTGGGACATTTATTGGTAGCTTCCCTCTCTGTTTATAGCCTAAATAATGCATTCACAGGGCTGTAGTGATAAATTGTCAAAATGAGGAAATGAAAATATGTCCCATTTTTTGATGCCTATTCAGGTTTAAGAGTTTTATAGGCATTTGTCATTACCGGTCAGCTTTGATTTTAAAATCTGACTTAAGCGAAGATCATGAAAGACAAACACTTTGTGAGAGAGCTGGGCTGTACATATTGCAGCACAGCACTGGGACTGGTATTATTTGTGGCTACTACAAATGAAAGAAAATCAGAGCCAGCATTTTCAAACAACATTCTCTGAAATATTTATTATGTTGAGTCCTCAGAGATATTTGCAAGGATTCTTTTAAGTTATTGCAACAAAAGTTCAAGGTTGTTTTCCTTACTTTGTGTCGATATATCAGAAACAAATCCTATTCACTCTCTATGTGCTAGTATTGAACTTTGAATCTACTGCATTTTTTCAATAACTGTAAGCTATATCATTTAAATGCTGACAATTTAATGAAAAGAAAAGCTTTTACAAGAAAGATTAGAGGTCAGAAGGGTTTATCCTGGTAATAAGAGCCAAGCGTGGCATTGAGTTGTCTTGGCATATGAGATTATTCTGCATATCTAATTGTTACCACAAATCCAAAACTCAATATATTTAACTTAAAATTGTAATGGCAAGTTGGTTCTGCTGACACCTTCCTGGTCATTCCAGACCTTGCAAATGTAAATTTTATGTAAAACTTTAATAAAATACACATTTGTTGAATATCTACCATGTGGACTTGAATATATTAGTGCTGGAAAATTCAGCCTCTATGAATATGACATATGTGAAGAAGAACACACACACACGTGCATGCGTGCGCATACATACACAGACACACACACACACACACACAGTTACCATGGGTCAAAAGTAGCATGCTCTGCTCAACATTGTATATGCTGAGGTCTCATCTTCATAAGGACCTTGCAAGGTGTCCATTTGTTGCTTTTTAGAGAAAAGGAAGCTGAGGATCAGAAACGTTAAGTTATATCCCTGAGGTCACAGAACTAAATGACAATGACCATGGACAAACAGAATACACCTTTAGCTGGTGGTTCCCAGGTACAGGACAAACATATGGTTTTGTCTTGTACATCTCTAAGCTGCATAGTTGCTTTGAAAGACTCAGTCTATTTGTGTAAAGATATATTAATATTTACCCTTTCAAATGGAAGTGAAAGCTAAATCTGCACTACCACAAATGTAGGAATGATTTGCCCACAACTTGCACAGAAAATAAATATTTTCTAGGCAAGAGTCACATAGCAAGTTCTCTGAATGGAAGAGGCAGGCTCTGCTTCCTGAAGTATTTTCCTTTGAAATGCTGGCAAAGGGGAACTTCAGAGGCAGAGAGCCTGGTGTGAAGCTCTGTGGGGTAACTGAAATGCAGCGTGCCAAGTTCCTACCTTCTGATTGATTTTTATCGTCTCTTCTGTGTGGTAGAGGAGGAGCTTTTCCCCGGAAGAAGTCAGGTTAACGTACACCTGGAGGCAGGGGTACTGAGAAAGTTTCCAGCAGTCTGGACCGCAGCTGAAGGAGCAATTAAATGTTTCCGTGATGGATGCATTCAGCAAGGTGCATTGAGACTCTTCGGTCCATACGCTACAGAGAAAGGGGTGAGAGTAAACACAGGCCCAAGAGCTAATAGTGAGAAAGGCATCATCTGAGGGAATTATTTCTCAGCTCCTGAAGCTGAAAAATCTTTTCTAAATCTCTAATATGATCTATCTGTGTACAGTTTAGGCCTTCGTATAGAACAGCTTTAAGCATATAACATAGACAAACTTGGACACGCGAGAACGTTTTCAATGACTTCCATTTTATATGGTATTCTCTGGTATTTGACTTAAGTTCTTTTTTCCCTGATTGAACTCCCTGGTAACATGAAGCATGCTTTAAAATCATCACCTGTTCTCACCCTGTATTTACACATTGCCGGCAGCTTCTTGACATGCTCCAGCCCCTACCTCTGTATGTTTTACTTTGTACTTTTTGCATCCCAGATCCCTTCCCTGCCCCGTTTGCAGTCACAGAAGGTGTGAGGGAGAAGGAGCGGGGAGATGACAAAGGAGTGGAGGGTTGTGTGGTCCAGCTTGACAGATGGAAGGACAGTGACAGAATGCCTTAAGGTCTTTCTAATAAGGGAAAAAGGATAACTCAACCCTTTCATTATATCATGAGCAGTCACTGGCTGCACATTCCTTTCACCCTAATTGGTACTTCATATATAATACCTTCTTTTGTTCTCTCAACAACTGTGCAAGTTGGGAAGCAATTTCTTTTTAAAAGTGAGTGAACTGAGAAATCCCATGACATGCAAGGACATATAGGCAGTAAGTGATGGAAACTGTGATCCCACCCAATCTTGTAATTCTCTAAGGCGCAGGCTCATTCTATTGTGTTGTGCTGTCTCCCCACAAACACAATGGAAAAGAAACTCTTTTATGCAGACTAATGGATGAATAAGGGTGTCCTGTTACCACTCACCTGGAAGAATCCAGCTGCCCATTTGTCAACTTGTCATTTTAATATACCTTTAATTTTATGATCAAGATTAACATTTGTAATTAGGAATTAACACACCAGCAATCAATGGTTTGGTTTTGGGTATAAGCTGATCACCACAGCAATGAGAAACGTGTTTTCTTTGCAGATTGATACCCTTTCCTTTTGCTAGACAGGCATCCACAGCTTGCTGCCCCTTTGCATGTGTGAAGTTTTATTTCAGAAGCAGGATACTAGACCTGATCCCCTCCCTCGGTGTGGCACATTGTGTTTTCCTGGAACATGCGTGGTCACATTTTGCTTATATACTGAGAAAAAAATCTTTGATGGTTCTAAGCAGATGTGAAGATCTGAAAGCATTTTGGAATCAGCGACCACTTGGGGCCTGAGGCATCAGCACTTTCATTGAAAATGAGCACAGCTGAAGGCCATCAGAGAAACAGAGCAGAGCAGCCACAAATGTGAAAGATGATGCCTTAATTTCAGCAAATTACTGTATTTCAGCTAGATTTTGCTTCTAAAATGAAAGTATTAATTTAGATGGAGAAACAAATGCCACAAAATTGTTTCATTTTCTTTTGGATTGAAACCTCAATTTTTCATTAGAAAAGGTCTTGTTTCTTTAAGCTGAACTGCTGTGAGACTTCCCCCCATTCGATACATCAAGGCTGGGCTCGCCTGTGTTTAGAAATGTCCAATTTATGGACAACAGCTAGAGATGCTGGTGGGATTTACCACGTGGCTTACCGAGGGCGAGAGTACACTTGCTGTCTCACAATTTATTTGCCTCCCTATCCATTCAATAAACCTACGGCAAATATTGAAATGAAAAGATTCAAAATCTGTTATTTTTAAAAGTAGATGCATAGCAGTGTTTCTCAGCCTAGAAGGCCCATTAGAATCACCTGGGGAGCTTTAACAGATACTGGTGACTGGGTCCCACTCCAGACCAATTAAATCTGACCTTCTAGGGTGACGATGACGGGGGCTGGGTATTGTCATTTTTAGAGTTTCTGGGGAAGTTGGAATATGCAGTTGAGAACCACTCACGTGGAAGGTGATGGAGGGGTTGGTTGGGGTGGAAAAGGGAGGAGGGTGGGGAACGGACAGAAGTGCGAAGTGGCAAGAATAGGGACTTTGGAATAAGTGAGATGTGGGCTTGAATCTTAGCTCTGCCACCAGTAAGAGCTGTAAGACACTGAGGAAATCATATTTCTCTTGAGCCTCAGTTTTGTCATTTTTATAATGAGTATATTTATACTTAACCTTATAGAGTAATTGTGATAATTAAACAAGTACAAGTCTTTGACGCCTGGTATCCATGTTATACATAGAGCTATATTTATTATTATTGTTAGATAACATTATTGAAAAGTATTATTTACCAGGAACTTCTCAAAATTCTTATCAGGAAAGAAGGCGAGGAAGATGACCTTAGGGTTGCCTAAGTGATGGGGGAGGATGGAGGAGGAGACAAACAGCAGGGTCCCACCCTCCCAGTGGTATTACCTCTGCATGTATGAGCGCAGGAGTGTGATTCCCAGCAGAAAGTACATCATGATGGAGCACACCATCATGGCCAGTCCCAGGAGAATGGCTCGGTCCTCTCCTGCCTTCAGTGCTGTGACTGTTTTCCTTTTGTCCAGGAGGTCATGGTCTCTGATTTTCTGGTAAATATTTCTGAGGTTGAAAACAATATGATCTTACATAAAGTTTAGTTAATCAGCATGCCCCTAGAGAGCAGGTCAGTTTCTGTCCATGCCTTCCTAGGGCCCTCCAAACCTGCCTCAATGCAGCTGGACCTCACTGTGTGTCCACTACCTCCCACACAAGTACACACATGCATGCACACACACTCACAAGCACATGCACGCCTGTACATGTACCAGTCCTGAGCAGAAATAAGCCCTCCTTTTTTACTTTGGGGCCAATGTCTAACTGTAAATTAATTTTCATTCTATCTAATTCTAAAGAAAGAAACCAATCCCCTCAACCCTCAAAATAATGCTTTGGGTTTGTTGACTTTACCATTTAACCCAAAGCTGATCATTATTGATTTTTAAATAATTTTGGAATACCTAATGGAGCATTGATTCAAATAAATGGCAACATATACTTGGAATATATCAAATTAATCTTTCATTTCTCTTCAGTAATGATAGGCAGAAGTTATTTTGATTAACATTTTTCTCAAGCTGAGGGCTGCTTAGGGCTTTGTTGGCTTGAGATTGATAAGCAGTGTGAAGATGTAGAGTGGTGACCCAGCTATTCTTATATGTGAAAACATTCGATTGAGTTAGAAAAGTGTCATTCAAATTGAGGCCAGACCTTATAACTTTGGACAGTTTTATTAGTATTTTTGTTTTTTATTTTAGAGCAGCAATGTAGGATAAGAAAACAAGAAATTGAAATCAACTGTCTCCTGAGTTCAGACTGGTTTCACTGCTTATTAGCTGTGTGATCAATGAGAGGTGCCTTAGACTTTCTTTGTTGAGATGGAGTCTCACTGTGTCACCCAGGCTAGAGTGCAGTGGTGCGATCTCGGCTCACTGCAAGCTCTGCCTCCCTGGTTCACGCCATTCTCCCGCCTCAGCCTCCCGAGTAGCTGGCACTACAGGCGCCCACCACCACGCCCGGCTAATTTTTTGTATTTTTTTAATAGAGACGAGGTTTCACCGTGTTTGCCAGGATGGTCTCGATCTCCTGACCTCGTGATCCACCCGCCTCGGCCTCCCAAAGTGCTGGGATTACAGGCATGAGCCACCGTGCCCGGCCGTTCCTTAGACTTTCTGATCCCCAGTTGCCTGCAAAGTGAAAATAATGTTTAAATGCATTTTAATGGCTAAGTGACATGATACAAGCAAATCATTTAAGAGAATGACTGACATGAGATTAGTAATAAATGTTCCCATTCAAAAAATGGAGTGGGGAGCTACAGCTCAATGACACGGACATCAGAAAACCCTAAAATTGCTACTATTCTCCAAAGAATTTCTAATGGACAAAACTGCAAGAAAATTAATAGTGTATAAAGATTAGGGATGGAGGATTGGATTTGAAACCAGGTCTGGAGGAGAAGGTAGAAAAGAAATGCGGAAGTGCTGGATGCTGGGTGAGATGAAGAGAAGCTTGAGTAGGAAGGCAGTGCTCAGGAATTCCTGCAAGGCCTGCGACCAAGAAACAGCTCATGATTTCTCGGTGTCTATTTTGAGGAGGGAGCTTTGGATTGCAGGGCAGTGGAAATGGGAAAATTGCTGGCCTTTAGAGCCTAGAAACAGCGAGGACAAATAAAATGCTGAAAATGGAAAAAGAAACTCTTAAGTCATTTTTTTTTTTTTTTTTAGCTTCAGGCAAAAACCAATATGCACAAGAATAACTTCAGATTTTTCATTCAAATTTTTATCGCTAATCACTCTTGTTGCTTGGGAGAGGAACCAGAGTAGACTCTAAAGTGGAACTTTGCAGGGGAGGGAAGATATGCCTGTTGTTTGTGCAGTTGTGTGTTTATTCAGGGCTTATATTTAGCTTTGTGCTCGAGGATGGCCTGACTGGTGTCTATAACCAATGTCTCTTCTGATTGGCTGATCCATTCTGCGCTGGTTGCTAAATATTTTGATTCCTTATAGAGGTGATAGAGTGCGTCTGTACTTAATATATTTCCATGAGGTTGTAGGACTGAGTATTTATTAATCTAAGTATTGGTTGTGCAAAATTAACTGATTAGCTTATTATTATTTTAAAGTTCTCTTTATGAGGTGGTTTATATAAATCTTACTCTTTCCTTGCGAAGTCAGCTCATTGTAGTAGGAGAGTCGGAGCTAAATACAGGCCTTTGTTTATCATCTTTTCATGTCCCTGTCCTTCCTGGCTTCTTCCTGCTGTCACTTGCTCTTGGCTGCTCATGGTTATTACCAGAGGCCTGGAGAGCCCACATCTTTCATTGTTCCCCAGCTCCCAATCCCAGTGCCCCTGGATTAGCTGGCCTGCCCTGCTTTTGACTTCCACAGACTGGCAACCACCTACCCTCTGTGTTTCTTCATTTTTTTTTGAGATTTTGTTTGGAAATTGTAGGATTTACATCAAAGCTTTCAAAACTTCACCCTTTATGAACTCAAATTTAAAAAAATCAGTGTCCGTTAGTGGCTAAAGCCAGTGGGCTGAAAGCTTTTCTGAACCAGGAAGAGACAGGCCAAGTCTGAGTAGCTTCAAAGACCTGCTGTAAAATAATAATCTGCTGTTACTTCACTAATGTTATTTATCAACATGTATTTAACTCTGATGGCTGCCATCGAGGTCTGCATTTCCTGCAGATGGAAGACAGCAAGGAGGGAGCATAATCTCACAATTCCAGGGTATTAGACTGTCACACAGCATCACTTATGTCAGCCTATACCCGTAAAAGAGAAGTGTAATCAGTCAGTTGTGTCATCAGAACAAGAAGCATATAAAAATGATTCAAACCTGTAATTTAAAAACAAATCACAATTTGAAAGTGGTTAACAAATGTTTTTGATATGCTCTGGAATGTATAGAGAGGGGAAAAGTGAACAATTTTCATAGAGCCCCCAAAGTATCTGAGAAATCAGGATACTACCCAGCAAAATGAAAGTGGGTGAGTGGAGTGGGCCGTGCCCATGGAATTCATTAGTAAATGATGATCGAATTAATGGAAAATAAAGAAATGAATACATGATTTGGAAGAGCAAAGAGTTCAGTTTAGGTTCACAAACTTCTCCTGAATGCTGGTAACCTCTTGTTATTGGGGATATGGGCCCTGCCCAATAGGAAAACAGATAAGTATATAAATATCAGCATAGGATGAAAAATATAATGATGGAGCAATTCACAGAGTATTACGGGAATAGAGAAGAGGGGAGGATACCCCAGCCTGAGGAAGCAGGACGGAGAGCCAGGGTTGAGTTTAGGGAAGGGTTCCTGAAGGAGAAACACTTTAAACAAAATATTCAAGGTTTAATCAGGGTTAACCAGATGAGACAGAGTCAAGGGTATTTTAGACAGAAGGACTCACATGAGCAAAGCGATGGAAACTTGCAATTGCATGGTGAATATCAGAAACTATAACTGTTTTAATATTACTGAGATGCCTATGGGACAGGGAAAGAGGCAGATGAGTTTGCAAAGGTAGGTAGGCCATGAAGGGTTTTGTAAGTCATTCTAAAGAGCTTGGCCTTTACTCTGTAGTGAATGGGAATCTGTCAGAGGGTGACATGACTGAGTTTCAGAATGATCACTCTGACTTCTGTGCAGAGTTTAAGAAACAAGATGAGGCTTAAATCAGAGAGAGGAATGGGGGGACTATTACTGTAGTGTTGGCAAAGGACAATGAGGGCTGGATCTAGGGTCAAGGTAGGATGTATGAAGATGAAACGGTACATGGAGAAATATCTACGGGACAGAACTTCAGGATTTGGTGGCTGATAGAATACAGTGGATGATGAGGAAGCAAGAAAAGTGATGTAGTTTAGATTTATGCTCCAGTACTTGGTGTGGATGACTGGAGAAATGGTGGAGAGTAGTAAGGTGAGATCCTTGTTTCTCTGTTTCCCTGCTCTTCCAGGATCCAAAGAGGTGACTTCTGCTGACCTTGCTAAAGAGGAAGAAAGTGATTGTACATTTATAGATTCTCTTCCCACAGGTTTAGTGTCCTAAGTACAGGCAGAGGAGTGACTAATCTCAGTGGTGAGATATGCCAGAGTCAGAGGGCCACCTCTATTTTTTGGGTCATTGCTAATGAGTGGCATAATTTTTGTAAAAAAAAAATATCATTTTGGATTTGTTTTTGTTCAGGCCTGGTGTGCTTTGGTTTTTTGCATGTCCAGGTAATAAGGGTAGTAAGTCTCAGTTGGAAAAGAGGGTGTTTCCAGCCTGAGACAGAATGGGTTAGTTGGCCTCTTCTACACCATGTTGTCTTCAGTGTTAGCTGGAAGGAGCATGATGCCATATTTTGGGCCACAGGCCTATGCGTCCTCTTCCATACTAGGAAGCCATGTAATGTATGAGTTACTGTGTAACTACTAACAAGGCTGATAGCTCATCACCCTTTGGTTCTTTCTGCCTATTCTTTATGAATCTATCTGAGAGGAGTTGAGGGTGGAGGTGGTAGTGCTGAGAATAATGGAATGAGGGCCGGTACAATTCACTGATGTAGAGAGCTCAGGAGGAAGAATGAATCTGGGGTATGACTACAAATTCAGTTTTGGCTAAGTGTGCTGCCCAGCAGTGGGCGTAGAGCAGGAATTTGACTTTATAAGTTTGACGCTGATCTAGCCTTGATGTGTCCTGCAAGGACACATTTAAGGTCTGTTGAGATAGTCTTGGCTTCATGGTGAACCACATGTTGACAACAAAAAATAGTAGATATAGTGCAGTCTTTACTATATATAGGGAACATTCTGCTCAAAGCCTTTGGAGAACAGAAGTTATTAATATATCTACAGGGCAAATCCAAGTATAACAAAAGTGTTTGTGGTAAATGTCTTGTAAACAAAATATTTTCAATTGTTTAGTAAGGCTTCAATAAATTTTACCCCAAGTAATAGTCAACCTAGTAGAATTTTGTTTTGAGCTCCTTTTGTATAGTTTCTTGAAGTCTGATATTGGGGCTCATTATTTATAAGGCTATGCATATATAAATATGGATATAAAGAGTAAAATGTGCA